TCGGCGCCGGCCCAAGGATCATCTCCATCGTCGCCCAGTTCGCCGCTGTTCTACTGGTCCACGCCGGTGCCGGTCGACGAGGCCAAGTTCAACCATCACAGCCTGTCGAAGATCCTTGACGCGTTGGCTTACTGTCAGCAGAGCCTGTTGTCGCGACCAATGTGGCCAACGCTGGCCATCGGTCCGGACGACACCCGGACGAAGGTCGTCGACGACCGTCGCACGTGTCCCGGTGGCGGCCTCGTGCAGCGGCACTCGGCCTTTCGTCCTGTGGAGAAATCTCGCCTGTTGGACGGCGGTCCCTCGACCGGTGGTCGGCCCTCGGCGTCGCCTGGCAGCTTCCTCGTGCCTTCGTTCGGCTGCGTCGAGGCATCGTCGACGAACGACGTGCAGCACAACTCTGAGCTGCGCCGCAGTTCGGTGAAAAACGAGTACGTCGTCCAGGCGGTTGAAAGCTTCTTCTTGCCGCACGGCTGCGACAAAGGCGACAACAAGAGGCGCCATGAGGACGAGCACCAGGACGAGGACGTCAACGTTCCTTGTGCCGTGCCGACCACCGTCTCTTTCCCCGCCGACATCAAGCCGGATGTCGATTTGTGCGGCGTCATTTCGACCAGCTCGACGTTCTCCGAAACTCGTAAGCTGCTAATGTTAATCTTTGAGCAGGCTGTTCTCGACTGGATGACAGATTTTCCTCTGCTGCCATATTTTCCTCACGCACAGTAACTCTGCTGTTCACCTTCGCCCTGTCGTCGATCTCCTCCTTCCCTCACAGTTGTACGTCAAGCGACAAAGCAATATATGCAAAACCAGGATACGCTTTAATTAGCCATCGTTGTGTACGTGTGGTCGAGTGAGAACCGTCGACCAAGCAGACCGATTATTCTCGAGCCGCCGCACACCCGAAGACTTTCTTTCTTAACAGAATTGGCTATCGGTTTTTTGAAGAATTTAAATGTCCCAATGCGTTAATGAAATACTTCGCTAGCGAGGCTGTTCGATGACCGCTTTTGCCTGAATGTTACAGATCCTCAGGTCCTCAGATCCTTAAATGAGGTTTGTTCATGCTTTGTGTTGACGAAGACTGCATGATCACTCAGTGACTAAGCGGTTTACTTTGAACTCGGAGATGCAGAATTCGAGTACGCTGTAGAAACTATCCTTGTCCTAATCGGGAATCCCCTTGAGCAAGAAATCAACCTCACGCTGCCTCGGCGCACCTAGCCGTGAAACGGGTAATAGTTGGTCATTTGTGATTTGCAGGAACAGCATGATATTCTCATCTGGTCATGCTAGAATAGGTGTGTTGCACTTACTATACGTCGCACCTCGTTCTGATCAGTCTGATATGACATAATAAAGCAGTGTAATAATCACATCAAGGTTTAACACCGCTTTCGACTGCTGTTTGTCATGTTTCTTGACTGGATATTCACAGCGAATACTAGAATCGAAAGTGCCACTGCGGCAGGAGAGGACAACATCTGCGTCAACCCTCCCGTATTTGCGGATGACACTGTATTGCTAGTAGACAACTTTGCTGGTCCTAGCTCTGAAATAGAGATGTTCTGATCTGGGTCATCGATTAACTTAAACAAGAAACAGTGGACGGATGTGATCTGACCCTAGACACTGAAGTTGTAGCAATGGCACTAAGAAGAATATGTGTAACTTGGAAGTACACTGGCTGCAGGTGAACGAGTGATGAGGAAGTAGAAAGGCGCTATACGTTGGCATTAGCACCGAGCAGCAAATTATTCATGCTCTGGGAAGGCAAGGATGCTGCTAGTAGAACGAAGATTAAAAATGCACGTCTAGTGTCTGAACATCTTGCTCTATTGCCTAGAGACAGCAGTACTGAGCAAAGTTGAAGGTAGAAAACGGGAAGCAACGGAAATAAGGGTTTGCTGATCAATATTAGATATGAAATGGCATGATCTCATGACGAATGCTGTTATAAGAGAGAGGTTAGTGTGTACAATTAAGGTGATCAAACAGCAGCAAATAAGGCATTCAAAGTCTTGAGGCCATTGGCAGCGAAGGTACGATGGCCACCTTGCGAAGCGAATACAAAACTCAAAATCAAATGACAGAAAGCCTTCACGAAGACCATCAACAAGGTGTAAAGATTTCGTGTAACAGACATGCTGTGGAAAGGACCGAACAGTGAGCACCTACTTAGTCAGTTGAAGTGGCACTCGGCGTCGTCTTCAATGGAATTGGATACGAAGAGGAAAAATGCGGAAACGTTTCATCGTCAAGGACAGATGAATGTTAAATTTCATGCGATTTTGTTTTACTTCATCGCTACAGAAGTGGTCCTTCTCTCATTGCACTTTAAAGTGGCGCTCCTTCGGTCTAATAAATCATAAGATCAAATTTGCAAACGTAGAATTTGATTCAAGTGCGATTTTGCATGATGAGGAGTAAGAAACGCAAGAAAACAAACAAAATCTAAATAATAAGTAAAGGAACTGTCTACCCCTGTCTATTCAGTGATGACTTTTTTTCAAATTCATAATCACCGCAGTAGCAAACTCATATCATCAATGCCATATTACGTTCTGTCCATGGCAGATGTTGAATCTGCTTTAAAGCAGCCTGTTGCAATGCATCCCCTTTTGCCTACATGTTGGCTCGTCCGCTTCTGATGAAGTTATTCTTACATTTTCTGGTCTTAGAAATACACTGACAATTAATGTTCTTAAACATATTTGTTTCAAGCGGAAAAACTGGTCGAAGCACGTGAAAAAAATGCGACTGCTTAGGCGTGTAAAATTTATCTGCACCTCATCAGGTATGAGTTGCACAACTGATTAACTGCGTTTGTCCTCTTAAACAGACCGAAAAAATTGATGCATGGTTGCTTTCGACCTATTCATGCAAAAACGCTGCGAAGTGTTGTAAATCAGGTCTAGTCATTTTTCGTAAAAGCCCACTTGTAAAGCTGTAAAATTGCCTGCCCATGTGTCTGAATATACTTTTCCTTCCAGTGATAACGCTCCGAACTCTCACGTTGGTAATGGTCAGGCCTCAGTAGTTAAACTGTTGACTAGCTATTCAATTCTGAATTATAATTTATCTAAATTTTCCTCGTTGTCGATGAATCATGAATGCATGTTATTAATTTAGTAACGATACTTACGTATTGAAACATATTCGTTCTGTATTCTGGTTCTGTTGCAGGACCGTCATTTGTAGAGGTCACAAATGAAGTAAGAGAGGGCAGAAAACGATTTCATCATTTCATCATTGTGTAATGACATATTACGTATTGACCTCTGCCTGCTGAGTCGGTTGGAATGCCGCAGAAGACCCCTCAATAAAGAGATGACGAGGTCCTACACTGGTGATTGAACATCTCCGTGACAAGAGTTCACCAAGCGTCTTCCTTTTGAATCTCAATCGGCTGGTTGAAGGATGCGAAGGACGAAAGCTATAGTTCTCACCGGTTGGCACGTTGAAACTCAAGAAATAGAGGTTATGCTCGGCAGAAAACCGGCACCGTAGGACAGGCTACCACGTCAGCTTGCCAAAGGCTGAAATTACTTACGACCCCGTGACGCCCAAGACGCGATTCGCAAACGGCAGAGGTTGTCATCAGGATCTTTGTGGGTAGTTAGAGCCCCGTCATCAGACGTGCTAATCGATATCCACATCACCGAGGCGAAGAAACTCAAAGCAGATGTATCGCCGTCTGCGAAACCCAAAGATCGCAGGGACTACAGTGATCAAATGTTCCTCCGGAAAGCGTACGATAACAAGGCTCAGACAGGCCATGCGGGATTCATCTTAAAAAATAAGGCTGTACCGCTTACAGTCAGCTGCGACCTCATGTCACCTCCTGACACCAAGCTGGTGCTGGATGGACAGGATAATGTCTCGAAAAGATGATCTGAAAGTTTACCGCTGAACATACTAGCGAACGATGAAGAAATTGAGTAGTACTACGATGAACTGTAGAGCGCAGTACCACAACCTCAATACACAATCTTTCAAGGAGATTTCAACGCCATAGTAGGAAATTAAACGACCGGGACAGGCCATTTCATTGACCGGGCTCGAAGTGGAGAGTGAAACGAACAGTGTTCTCGTTTCATGGCGTTTGCGAGAATTAGTCGCCCCAGGTCATGGGTACCATACTTGAAAACGCTGAGAAGCGGTAGGGACCGCT